TAAGTCAGGATTTGGTGATGAGGATCAGAGTGATTAGACGTGGACATTCTCACAAGAATTCTGACACTTTTGGCACGCCCAGTGGGACACTTGTCAAAAAAATTTATGGTGGAAACTAGGGCACAGGCAAAGCTAAAAAACAAGGCGGTCGAAATGACTTCTGAGACTCCTGAGTCCACTTCACCAATTACCGTGACCGAACATACGGTCGGGATCTCGGCCAGCGTTCCAGTAATGACGGATCGTACGGCCGAGTCCATACAGGAACAAGCAGGAATGGAGGATTTGATGTCCAGGCAGGCTTGCAGGATGGAAACATCCTTCATGGCCACGATGGACAGATTTTCTTCAGAGATACGAACGCTTTTCCAGGAGAGAATGCCGGTGACTTCGCCCACAACACGGGAACGTGAAAGGATTGAGCCTTACGGCGAAAGCAGCAACCTTGGCGTCTTCTCCCGTACCCAAGCGTTAGGCTACGACCAGCATTCTTTGCCGCCGACCAACGGCTGGGGGCAGTTCTAGGCCTCGAGGGAGAGTCCCGGACCAAACCGACCGGCAAAGAGAGCATGTGGCCCACTCCATGCTCTGGCCAAAGCATTCGGCAGGAGTCCTACGGTATCTATGGCCGAGCAATTCGGCCCAACCCATACTTTGGCCGATCAAGCACGGTCCGGCCAAAGCAGTACGACCGAAGCGTTACCACAACAGTGCGAGCAAAAAGGCATGACTGTTGCACTATCACTGCAAAGACACGATTCGGTCATCCAGACGACAATGCAAGCGCGCCTAGGTTCCCTTTATGATACAGATCAGCAGGACCAGGTGACCATACCTCGATGGCTAGCCGACCGAGATTATCTCGGCCAAACCCACGGCGCTCCGCTGAAACTACCCGGCTCGGGCATAACGACCGAGCCCGTTGCTCAGACGGCCCGGCAGGATTGGCCACGAAACAATGCGCAGCGAAGTAGTCCGTGTCAAGGGTTTCGGTTTGGGGACATCCGGCCTATCGTGAAGGACGATTTAATAAAGGGAGAGCTGCGGGCACCAGATTACCCAAGGCCGCGCTTGTCAAAGGAGCTTAGCAATGCGCACGATTTATTTTCTAAGGTTTTTTGGGCACGCCATATCTCAAAAATTTCGGCAGTGGGTATAACCCTTTATGTCTTGGCCAACGGCCATGACCCTGGTAAAATATCAAAACAGAGGGTTCGATTTCCTCAAAACATCGGGCAACATGGCCAAGAGAAGAAGGGCCACTCGCAGATGAGGCCCAGGAGTTCAGAGAATTCAGAACAGTCGGAACTCGACGCCTACAACGCGGCGCAAATTCAAAAGAAGATGGCGCCGAGGACCTACGACAAAAAAGTCAAAAACAAGAAAAGAGGAAGGTAGGCGACCAAGGTAAGCGAACGGCGCGGTCAAAATAAAACAATAATATACATCTAGCTTTTCAGAAAAGAAGGCCCTTGCCTTACTTTTAGTTAGAAAGGGCATTACTTACAAAAAAAGGGAACGGCCAGTCACGGCCGAAATAATGTATATATCTGTTTGCGTGAAGTCTTAAAACAAAAGATAAACTATATGTGTAGACAAAATGTATGTGAATATTTATTACATCCCAAAAAGAAAAAAAAAAGGGGGGGGGGGAAGTTGAGATGGCCGCTTTTAGCCCGCCTAGGCCCCTTCGCTAAACATTCCCAGATCAGGCAGGTGATCCTTCTCCAAGCGATGTCTCCACCGTTGATGTCCGCCTGCCATCTCGCTCGGATCAGCTTTCGCTCGGCCAGGGCCTTCTTCGTCTCAGTCGCCGCCTTGAGGATTCGTTTGGCCGAGGATTTTAGCTCGCTCCCGGTTGTGACCGCGCCATCTCGGCGTTGGAGGATGAGATCTCGGCGAGCCCGGAGCTCGGTAATCTGGGCCTCGACCTGCGCAAGCTCTTCATTCTCTCGTTGGATGACGAGGTCATTTTCTTTCAGTCGGGCCATTACAGGATGAACTTGTTCTCTAATCACCTCCAGATCCTGCTCGAGCGAGCTCCCCTCGGCCATTCGCGTGACACCTTCAGCATACCGGCCGATCATCTCTTCGCCTTCGGCCAGACGAGCTTGCAGTTTATCCAGTTGGGCCGAGTCGGCAGGACCTAAACTCCGTAATCGCCCCGCCGGCAGTCATTTGCCGAACATCAAAGAGAAGGAACTCCCGGAGCCGTTCAATAACGGTCTTGGAATCCTCGTCCAAGGGAGCCGAGGCCGAGCTTCCCCCTTCCTCATGGAGGCTGGCGTATAGCTCCTCAAGATCATCGGAGGAGGTGACCTCATGAACATAAGAGGGGGAAGGGGTAAGAGAGAATTAACTAGGACCGGAAGGGATAAACAAAGAAGGAGGTCGAATACTCACGGGGAGTGAAAGGTCGGTCATCACCGCCGAAGGAGTCCGCAGGAGACTCGGCACACTCACGACCGTGGCTCCAGTCATCACCGGCTCGGCCACGACCGTGGAGTCCTGGAACGACGGCATCGGAGGCATGGTCGCGGCAACCATGGCTAGCGACGGTGACGATTGGGGAGGCTAGAGACAAAAATTCGGTCAGAAGTATAGAACATATCAAAAGAGAACAATAAAAGCCAAGTATATTGAAGGCAAATTCTTACCGAGCAAAAGGAGATGCCGCTTGGGCGACGAGGGGTGGACGTCAAAGGCCCACTTGGCACGTCCACAGCAGGCTCTTCGGTGGCCTCGTCAGTTGCCTCCTCAGCGGCCTCTTCATTAGCCTCCTCGTCGCCCTCGTCGACGGCCTCTTCGGCAGCTCCCTCAGCGGCTTCTTCGGCAGCTCCCTCAGCGGCCTCTTCGGCGACTTCCTCGGCGATCTCCTCGGCCGTCCCCTCTGCAGCCTCCTCGGCAGGCGTCACCTCTGCGGGCGCGATCTCAGCATCGAGCGCCTCAGCCACTTCCTCGACGGCGGCCGCCCCCTCAACCGTCGCCTCTGCGGCCCCCGCCTCCTCGACCACCATGTGGGCAACGGCCGCCTCCTTTACGAACGGCACCTCGACCGTAGCCTCCTCCTTGACTATTACCATATCCTGAGGAAGGAACCAGATTATCAGAATGCACAAAAGAGGAAAAAGGACGCCAGGGGGTGGTACTTACGATCGCAGAGGGGGCCTCACTCACAGTCGCAGGAGGAGCCTCCTCTTTACCTCTGCCCTCCGAGGAGGTAAAAAGGGTCCTCTTCCTCGGCCGCTGCGGGGCAGCCATTTCGGCCGCGGCACTTTGGGCTGTTGCGGCCTCAGTGCCCGACGCCTCTCAACTCCTCTTGCGACCCGAGGCTGCGTATACAAAGAAAAGAGACAAGAGTAAGATGACCAGAGACAAACTGGTTTAAAAAGGCCGGTGAGGAATAAACGATAAAGAGAAAAATTAGGCGAGGGTTACCCGCAGCAGTGGATGGTCGAGACGTTGGGGAGGTGTTAAGCTCATAATTTCATACATATACATGCCCTATTTACTTACTTCTTTTGCTTAGTTTCTTAGATTTCTAAGTTATTTGCCTCCCTTTGTGTGTTTTGTAGGCAAATAGAGCAAGAGAGCATAATTCATGCAATTCAAGCATGTTAAGGCCTAATTTGGATGAATGGATGAAGAGCTTAAAAGACAAACTCATTTTGGCTACAGCCCCCTGCCAG